ATTTACAAGCAACAGCAAAGTTAACCAAAATGCATTACAAGTTAATTAATGAACAATAGAAACTAAATACAATAAAAACTAAACGTGAGAAGACGCAAATACATTATATAGTGACAACATAAACAACATTTAAAAAAATCTGATGGTACTTAAGCGGAACTCGAATGAAAAGCCAGGGTTAAAAAAATGAGTTTCAAGATTTAATTAATTCTATTATTTAAAAATTATTCTTGGTATTAAAGGTTAGCAAATGTAGATCAAATCATTGACTTCAATGGATTGTAGAAAAGACGCAAAAGGGAACGAGCTATTTTCTGACGACCTTCTGCTTGTGTTGGCAGTTAATGATGCACACTCATGTTCTTATTCTGCAATTTACAGAAGCTAAATACCATGGGCTGGTAAACCAAGGTGCGACATGTTACCTGAACAGTGTGCTGCAGGTGCTGTTTATGACCGAAGACTTCAGAGAAGCTGTGAAAAGGTTTATTATTGTCACATATGTACATTTAATGGGGTTTATGGTTCATTTTTATTACTTATGGGGACTTTGTCTGTGTTTAGGTCCTCCAAACAAAATGTTGGCATTGGGCTTCTTGGTGCCCTTACAGACTTGTTTGATAATTTACAGAAACATACAGCAAACACACACAAAATAATAACCCAGCTGGGCATCAGCAGAGGTACAGTATGATAACACACAGACAACAAAACCTTTGAATGTTTTTGATGTTTCATGTTTTTGAGAAACTTGATCAGTTTACACAACATTTTGAGGGTTTATGATTGGCATTTGTTGTGAATAATTATGGGGTTATATATTTTTTTAAATTAATGAATATGTTTGTTAAAGACATGCACATATTTCTTCACCCAGTGTATGAACAGCGAGATGCTGCTGAATGCATCGAGAAGATTTTAACAATGACCAGTCCCGAGGCATCACAGGTAAGGTCTTTGTCAATATCAAATGGAATCGTTTGGTTTGAAAATAATACTTAATAATATGTTTTTGTTCATTTATATTTTCAGATCTTCCACGGTCTGTTAGCAAACCAAATCACCTGCTCTAAAGGTCATAAAGAGACTGACAGAGATGCACCATTTTGGCATCTTCCTCTGTCATTGGTGGATTTTTACAATCAAGACTACAGTGTAGTAAGTACATAAACTTCTCAGCATGTTTCTGTTTTCAGGACTCACAGCTGCAACAAGTTCACATAATATTGCCAGTAACATAGTGTTATTCTATCATTTTCCTTAATGAACACTTTTGTTTGATTGGGAACTATGTGGACACATAAAAATCAGATGATGCCTTAGATCCTGCTTGTGTCGAAACATATTAATTAATATTATTTCTGAAAATGTTTATTTTTTAAAAATATATTTCTTATTACTTTCAATGCATTACAAAACAAACATAACACAGTTGACTTATAGTCTCATGAGTCATGTAAATATCCTAAGTCAGAAAATGCAACAAATGTATCTTTTAGTGAGAAATTATAGGAAAAGGTAAACCTAATCCAATGTTTTGTAGAAAAACAAAATAGAGTTTTTGATGTGATTTTTGTTTGTTTTGTGGAAAATCGGTTAGCGAGT